ATAACCTCATGACATCTGATGTAGGAGTAAGTAAATCAACTATGGTTCGAACATCAAACACCTCCAGCAACATGCGAATCAAACCCTTCACACAATTCACAACACTCAACAAGCAAAACAAAAAGAAGTTTGCTGCAATTTTCTACTGCAATTTCGCATGCTCCAATTCAAGCCATTGAAATGCCAAAATCACACATCTTCAACCATCAAACTTAGTATTGATCCAACATGGTTGCCTACCCCCTAACCATTCCTAACCGAGAACAACAAAATGCAGCAAGAAAAAAAATCAACCACGACATATGTTCATGCCACTTTTACTCGGCCGAAACGTATTCCCACGAAGCAATTGAAACCTTGACCCATTAACTGATTCAGTAACTGACCCAAAAATAGAGAAAAGACAGCAATTGATCATCTGGACATGAACATAGACTCAGCCGAGACTTCATTTAAGGCAACTGAAGTTTTTCCCTTTTAATGCAAACAATCTACTTCTACAATGGATTCACCATATTACAGCCATTCATCCTTTTTAATTTTATACATGAAAACAACAGCTTTGATAGCAAACATGTTCATGAAATCACATTCGAACAATAAGCAACAGCAAGAACGTCAAAACACTTCAACTTCAGCAACCCAAAAGAAATTCCACACTGCTGCTACAACCCCCTCAATACAGCTCTACGGATCTTAAACATGCTCAAGTCATGCAAATAAAGACCCAAGATATAGCCTTTCGTTCACCAAATTGGAGAAAACTATAACCTTTCAATCAAATATCAAACAAAATATTATACAAACTGTTATCTCAGCAAACGAAGGGAAAGAAACTACAAAAGATTGCAACGGGCCGAAAGGTTCAGTCTGATTGCGGCCAAATTTTTAGTCCAAAGATCTTAGCATACGACACAAAACCACACTCATAAGAGAATCATCAATACCAGCCGTCAAAACCCCAAACAAAATCCATGATTTGGAAGCTATCTATAAGAAAAAGGTAAAAGGTAAAAAGAGAAGCTTACAGTGCTATTTCTGGTGAAAATTCGACAGCAACAACGGTGGTTGAATCCGGTAAGCGACAACGGTCCCAAATGACACCAGATTCCTCTCTCGTTTCCTTCACCTGAAGCTCTTCCTCTCCTCTGGTTTGTTCAGCCGTCACCCTCTCTTCCTCACTCTATCTCCGTCATCCCTTTTTCCCTCTAGCTTTTTCTTTTCCCTCCAGATTTTCAGTCGTCACAAGCTCCCTCCCTTTTCTTTTTTCAAAACCCAGCTCTCTAGTTCCTTTTCTTTTCACCCTCAGCCGTCATACACTCACTTCCTCTTTCACCAGATTTTTCCGCCGCCCCTCTCTCTGGTCTCTTTCTTCCTAGCCGTCCAAACTCTTTCTCAGATCGTTCTAGCCGTTCACAACTCCCCCCAGATCCTCTCTTCTCTCGGTTTCTTCCTGGTTTTTTTTCAATTTTCTCTCAACCCAGCCGTCATAAAACCTCCCCCTGTTTCTTGCCGTCTCTCTTTTGCTTTTATATGGGAACCAAAAACTGAACCCTATCAACGATGGTTTGGATGAAGCCAGATGGTTTGTACTATGACCATCGAACGGAGCCAACCCCAGGCAAAAATAGCCGAGAAATGCAGCTGCAAATCCTTTCTGCTGCAGCCGAAACCAAAACGTGGACTTTTCCCTTTTTTTTTAATCACTTAATTAAACAACAATAATACAAAAATAACAATTTAAACAAACTTAAATAAAATGTACAAAATTAGTAACAAAAGATAAACAAAAAGCTAAGATTTTTCCTGTGTTGGATTAATGATTTTTCCTTTTTTTTTCTTTCTTTTTTTTCCAATTAATAAACAATAAAAAGAAATAAAACATATTTTTTATGAATAATTTTCTCTTCTTGGCAAATTTTATGCTAAAAAGTCTTACAATAAAAAATAAATAGCTAAAAAGGGTGAAAACAAATACAAAATAAAAGTAACAGATAATAATAATCTAAAAATACTAAAAGTCTAAAACTAAAATCATGAAATTAACAAAAATAAAAAAAATAGATAAGAATTATTACTAAAACAAAAATAAAATTAGGATAAAAAATTATTTAAAAATTTGGTGTCTACAGTTTGCCTCTCTTTGTCTGAGTTTTGGAAAAACTTGAGACAAAGAAAAAGACACCAAATACTTACCTGCAAACTAGTCGAACGACTGCCGTTTTTGAAATGAGGACTGACCCCTTTTGATGAGACTGACTCGAACGAGAAATAAAAAACGGACCGACCCAAACTGAAAATTTAAACGGGACTAACCCGAACAGGAAATTTAAACGGGATTGACCCGAACAGAAATTTAAAACGGGACTGACCCGAGATAGAAATTTAAAATCGGGACTGACCCGAGACAGAAATTTAAAATCGGGACTGACGCGAAATAAGAAATTTAAAATCGGGTCAGTCCCGATTTTAAATTCCTGACTCGAAATAGGAAATTTAAAATCTGGACTGACCCGAGACAGAAATTTAAAATCAGGACTGACCCGAAACAGGAAATTTAAATCGGGACTGACCCGAGACAGAAATTTAAAATCGGGACTGACCCGAAACAGGAAATTTAAAATCGGGACTGACCCGAAACAAGAATTTAAAATCGGGACTGACCCGAAACAGGAAATTTAAACGGAAAAAATCCAGTATGCTTACCGTTTTGTTGTGTCTTTGCTCAAACCTGCTTGCAGCTTTTCTGATCTACCTTTGTTCAGTGGAAATCTTTCCGATACCGACTTCAGTATGAGGTGTGATCGTTTTCCTCCATGCATGAAATTTTCTGCAAAGAGAAAGGATAAGGAAATTGCCACCATCATTTGACCCGGTTCCCTTTGAGAATCGTGTAAACATGAGTCTTTTGATGCCTTTGTCAACTTCGGCTGTGGTATCTGATTTAGTTGGATTTATTACTTCAAAGACTTTCTGATTCTTCTCAGACTGACCAAGAATGCCTTTAGCCATATTATGAGATCTGTGTACCGGGCCCCGTTGAATCATGACCATTTCCAAAAGATGACTGAATCCGACGTATACTTTTGCACAAACCATGGGGATTGTCATTTATTAAAACTTGATGATTAGAAAAATTGATGTATGTAAAATAAATTCACATATCAGGCAGGGATGAATATGCAAAAGGATGCAAACACGATCAATCATGCTTAAACCCATGAAAATGTCATGAATACTAATAATTGAGGAGAAATGAACTTCATGAGAATGTATTTGCAAAAGAATATCTATTCAAAGTGAGACACAGCTTTTGGCCAACAGATGTCACATTCGAATCTCTGGATATCTTTGTCCCGGAGTGCAATATTGACAGAAGTATTACAAAACGAAGAGAAATTCGAATGAACCAAGTCACCAGCTGCTCCTCCTCGTGCTCGCTCATTGCAGAACCCTACCTTGGCGCCCTTTCGGGTTTTCACCAAGGTTGCCCCCACCCTTTTTGCTTTTTGTTTGTTTTTTTTTTTCTCTTTTTTTTCTCTTTTTTTTTTTGAGGTGCCCTTTCGGGTTTTCACCTAAGGAACAATGAAAAATCTCGACCATGATCGACTCAGGAGTGTGAGTTGAAGATCGCTGACATCAGTAAAATGCGTTTCCCTTATAAGTTTTGGCAAAGGCATTGTGGACATCACTTGCCAGTTAATTAGCGAACTTCCTAATAGAAATACAGCAAGTGATGAAAGCCAGAACTTTGGGCTTTTGTAATGAGGTCAGGTGGGGTGTTTTTTCAAGAAAGTTGAGGCTTGAAAGCAAAGATTTTTTTTTTTTGATGAAAAGTGTGAAATAACCTGAGATTGCATCATTTTGAAATCATCTCCAATTTTGAACGAAAACTGAGGAAAATTTTGCCCCACTTTGATTGGATTTTCTCTCTTTGCATTTTCATTGCATTTTCCTTACTTTAGCATTTTTCTTTAGAAACTAAATTTGCCCCAATGTGAGGTTTGCAATCCTCAGGGGTTGCCAAACGAAAGTTATTAGTCTGATAGCTCAAAAGGGACGACTAGGGATTGAATGTTTTAAGTGGGAAAGAAGATGGCCTGACTTGCATTTCATCATTTGCACGGATTTCTAAAAGAAGTTTTGCATAATCAAATGAAGAATTTCTTGCACATGTCCGAGTTGATAGGTTGAGGAAATGTTTGTCCATCTATTTCTGCCAAAATGAGTGCTCCGCCAGGTAATACCTTTTGAACAATGAATGGCCCTTGCCAATTCGGAGCAAATTTGCCTTTGGTCTCGTCTTGCACTGGCAAAATCCGCTTCAGCACTTTGTCACCTGCCTTAAACGTACGCAAATGGACCTTCTTGTTATAGGCCCGGGCCATGCGTTTTTGGTAACATTGACCGTGACAAATAGCATTAAGCTGTTTTTCATCAATCAAAGATAGTTGTTCATGACGCTGCTTTATCCAATTAGCTTCTTCCAACTTAGTCTCCATTAGGATACGCAATGAAGGGATTTCGACCTCGGCAGGTAGCACAGCTTCCATTCCATACATGAGCGAGTAGGGTGTTGCCCCAGTTGATGTTCGGATAGAAGTCCGATACGCCATTAGTGCATAAGGGAGGTTTTCATGCCAGTCACGATGCTTTTCAGTCATTTTGCGAATGATCTTTTTCAAATTCTTGTTTGCGGCTTCCACGGCTCCGTTCATCTGCGATCTATAGATGGCAGAGTTGCGATGTCTGATTTTGAACTGTTCGCATAGCCCGTCCACCATGTCATTGTTGAGATTCTTGGCATTGTCTGTAATTAATGTTTCTGGCACCCCAAATCGGCATATGATGTGATCCCTTAAGAAATTCGCCACCACCTTCTTTGTCACGTGCTTGAATGATTCCGCTTCGACCCATTTGGTGAAGTACTCAATTGCCACCAATATAAATCGATACCCATTTGAAGCAGGAGGGTCAATTGTGCCAATCACATCCATACCTCACATTAAGCAGGGCCATGGAGCAATCATGCTATGTAACTCGGTAGGAGGAGCGCGTATGACGTCGCCATGCAGTTGACATTTAATACATCTCTGGACAAAATCTATGCAATCGCGTTCCATTGTAAGCCAGAAATACCCGGTTCTCATGATTTTCTTTGCCAACAAATGTCCATTCATGTGAGATCCGCAGACGCCGCTATGCACCTCCTTCATCATGTATTGAGCTTCATCTTCATCGATGCACCTTAAGAGGTTCAAATCTGAGGTCCTTTTGTATAATACCTCTCCATTTAAGAAAAACTTCGAGGCCATTCTGCGCAGGAAACCCTTGTCATTTGTACTAGCGTCCGGAGGGTAAGATCCGGTTTTGATGAATTCCTTAATATCATTGTACCAAGGGCTTTTGCCAAAAGAATTGTCTACGGCCCAACAATGAGCAGGCTTGTCTTGGAGTTGAATCCGGATAGGCTCGATTCCCAATTCGTCCGGATATTGTATCATGGAAGATAAAGTGGCCAAGGCATCTGCAAATGCATTTCAGGCACGCGGGAGATGTCCGAATTCCAAGCTTTGAAATTGTTTAGCCAAATTGAGCAAATTACAGTGGTATGGCAGGATTTTTGAATCTTTGGTTACCCATTGCTTCAACATTTGGTGCACAAGTAAATCTGAATCACTGAAAGCTATTAACTCCTTAACCTCCATTTCCAAAGCCATTTTAAGACCAAAAATACATGTTTCATATTCGGCCATGTTGTTTGTGCAAGCAAATTGCAACTTAGCGGCTCCAGGGTAATGCCTCTCCTTCGGAGATACAAGGACTGCTCCTATTCCGACTCCATAAGAATTAGCTGCACAATCGAAAAACAATATCCACTCAGGGCACTGCTCGCTCATATCTTCTACGGCACCGACAAATAAAACTTTTTCATCAGGGAAATAGGTATGGAGCGGTTGATAATCATCGTCCTTTGGATTTTCTGCCAAATGATCGGCTATAGCTTGTCCCTTGATGGCCTTTTGCGAAGTGAAACAAATATCAAATTCTGAAAGAATCATCTGCCATTTGGCCAGACGTCCAGTTGGCATCGGCCTCTCCAAGAGGTATTTCAGAGGATCGGAACCAGAGATGAGATAGGTAGTATGACTTAGCAGGTAGTGCCTTAATTTTTGAGCTGCCCAGGCCAAAGCACAGCAGTTTTTCTCAATAAATGAATAATTAGCCTCATACTGCGTGAATTTCTTGCTAAGATAATAGATGGCTTGCTTTTTCCTTCCTGAGTCATCGTGCTGCCCCAGAACACACCCTACTGCTCCGTCGAGCACAGATAAGTACATGATCAAAGGCCGGCCCAGTTTGGGTGGCACTAGGACCGGAGGCTGCAGCAAATAATTTTTAATCTTGTCAAAGGCTTGTTGCACTCCTCATTCCAATGCAACGACACATTCTTTTTTAATAACTTGAATAGTGGCTCGCACGTCGCGGTTAATTGAGCAATGAATCTTCCAATGAAATTAATCTTCCCTAAAAAACTTTTCACATCTTTCTGCGTTTTCGGCACTGGCATGTCTCGAATTGCCTTGATTTTTACCGGGTCTATCTCTATGCCCTTCTTGCTGACAATGAAACCTAACAATTTACCAGCTGGTGCTCCAAAGGCGCACTTTGCAGGATTTAACTTCAAATTGTACTTTCGCAACCTTTCAAACAATTTCCTTAAATCCATCAAATGGTCCTCGGCTTTCTTGGATTTGATTATAATGTCATCCACGTAGACCTCCATCTCCTTGTGGATCATATCATGAAACAAAGTAGTCATAGTCCTTTGATAAGTAGCCCCGACATTCTTTAAACCAAACGGCATTACTCGATAACAAAAGGTGCCCCAAGGGGTAATAAAAGCAGTCTTTTCTCTATCCTCCTCAGCCATTAAGATCTGATGGTATCCAGCAAAACAATCACAGAAAGATTCAATTTCGTGTCCGGCAGTGTTGTCTAGAATGATATGGATATTGGGCAAAGGAAAATCATCTTTAGGGCTGGCCTTATTAAGGTCCCTATAATCAACACAGACTCGCACTTCTCCATTTTTCTTTGGAACAGGGACTGGATTCGATAGCCAAACAGGGTAATGGGATACAATGATAATATTGGTCTTAAGCTGCTTTTCAATTTGCTCTTTTATTTTGAGGCTCATATCGGGTTTGAATTTACGGGGTTTTTGCTTCACTGGTGAAAAAGCTGGGTTTGTGGGTAATTTGTGCACCACTACATCAGTCGAAATTCCAGTCATATCGTCATAAGACCATGCAAACACATCTTGAAACATAGACAAAAATTCGATCATCTCCTCTTTCTACTTTTTATTCAAATAAATGTTGATTTGTATCTCCTTAACCTCAGTCTCGGTACCAATGTTAACGACTTCTGTTTCTTCCAGGTTCGGTTTAGATTTCTCCTCATATTGTTCGAGATCTTTTGAAAAAGAATCAAATACTTCCTCACTATCACTCTCGCTTTGAAATTCGGATTCCGTAACTTTCAAGTCGTGAGTGATATAGAGATTGTCATCATCAGATTCCAAAACAATGATATCCAAAGGGTCAAATAATTTTATATTTGGTCATCTGAAAGAATTAAGAAATTCGAGACAATAAGCAAATGAACACATGAATGAACGGCATGACAAAACAAACTATGCACTTTCATAAAACTTCAAATCAAAGCGGAAACAAGCTAAGAATATAAGTGCAAAAAATGCTTTCATTGAACTATTTACATATGCAGGAAAAAGTTTTCATGAACTTTAGTAAACGACAACCCCCTGTAGATTTACCGAAACTCCTTTCGCACGGGAAAGTACTCGGCGGTCCAATTGTGTATAGCTCCTTGGGGAATGTCTGGGAATTTGGCATCATCTGACGGGCCATTTTCGGATATTGCTCCCACAAACAAATGAGTCAGGCTTGTCTCCACTTCGTTAATTGGACTAAACTCAGACGCAATGACTTCAGCCGGCCTTGGGAAGGTATAGCGTAGTGGCGGAATGTCTAAAACTCCTTGCTTGCCCTCTTTTCCTGCCCTTTTGCGTGCTTTCATCTCTTGTATATCTCTTGCAGTCGGACGGAATCCCAAACCAAATAGGTCCTTTTTTTCGATGAGTTCCACGGGCTTCAAAATGCCTTGTAGATTGCGTCCCAATCCCTTATCAAATTCATATCCTCCGCGAATCATCTCCTTGGCCATCATAACACTGGCCGCTGGCAAAACCCTTTCGTCTTTTGAATCCCCACTTGTTATCCAACTCACAGAGACAATATCAGTCGTATGGTAGGAAGACACAGAAGCATTTCGATTACCACCCTCCTCAGGCTCGAAATCGGCAATTACAATGCAATCTTCTTCAGCAAAAATGGTTATCAGCTGGTCGTTCACCACAAATTTCAATACTTGATGTAAGGAAGACGGCACAACGCCTGAGTTATGAATCCACGGTCGCCCGAGTAAAACATTATAGACACTAGGAAAGTGCATGACTTGGCAGACTATCTGAAATTGAGCGGGCCCCATTTCGACCACCAAATTTACTTCTCCTATGGACTCCCTTTGGGCTCCATCGAATCCTCGTACTATGGTCTCTGAGGGTTTTAATTTAACATCTTGCAACCCCATCTTCATCAACGTGCTCCAAGGACAAATGTTGAGGGCAGACCCATTGTCGATCAGTACTTTAGACAACATTTTTCTATTGCACCTCACAGCTACATATAAGGTTTTGTTATGACCAGTTCCTTCCGCAGGCAGCTCTTCATCAGAAAAAGTGATTTGTTTAGCAGTCAATACATTTCCGACTATGTGCAAGAAATTGTCAACCGAAATATCCTTGTGAATCCGAGCCTTAGTCAAAACTTCAAATAACGCATCCCTGTGCAAGTCGGAGGAGAAAAGCAAGTCTAAGATGGAAATTTGGGCAGGCATTTTGTTCAGCTGTTCAACCACATTGTATTCGCTTCTCTTAAGCCTCTTGAGAAAATCCCATGCTTCTCTTTCGGTCACTGCGGGTTTCGGAGTCGGCTCATGGTTGCTTAGTTTGATTTGGGCATTGGCGGTGGATGAACTTGCAATCTTTCCTGACCTCGTAACAGCAGACACTTATTCCTTCAAAATTTGTTTACCCACGAATTGCAAAATGGGCTCACTATAATTCCACGGCGCTTGTCGTAAGGTTAAAACTGGCACTTATTCTGGGAATTCAATTATCACAGGTTCTAAGGCCGCACTTTCGGATAGAGTTAGGTCTAAAATGAAGGGCCTTTTGTCTTCCTCATACGATGCCTCCTCTATCACAAAAGGTTGGTCCATTATCCCAAATACTTCTGTCTCATTTGACACGCTTCGGACAAGCTCTTTGAATTCCTCATCATCCATAATAACTCCAATAGTACCAGCATGTTCCGGCAAGGGGTTCTTGTTCACATTCGGTCCTTGCTCTTCTCTTTTCCTAATTACGATCTCCCCCGCTTCTACCATGTCTTGAACCTTATGTTTAAGGAGTCGACAATTGACCGTGGAGTGACCAGGTGCTCCTGAATGATAAGTACAAGTAGCCTGTGAATTATACCCAGCTGGCACGCCATACGGGTAAGTTGGAGGGGGAATCACACATATTTTACCGACAGCCTTTAATTGCTCATACAACTGATCCAAAGGCCTGCCAAGGTTGGTGAATGTTCGAGCACGATTTTGATTGTAGGTTTCAGTAGGTTGGGGGTAGTTGTAGGTGGGTCTGTTTGGTGGGGAAAATCTTTGGTGGTAAGGAGGTCGAGAACGAGTTTGTTGAAAGTTAGGTTGAGATACTTGAAAAGGAACCGTAGGCGGGTTGGCGTAGTTTGGGCGAGATCGGGGGTGCGAGATATTGGTATTGTAGACAGGGTAAGGACTTGGATAGTAGGGATAAGGTGAATATGTTGGTTTATGTTGAAATCTGGGTCTTGGTGTAGGGTTTTGATCCCATATAAAAATAGCTTCCCCCTCTTTCTTTTTAAATTATGACTTTTTCCCACTACTCCCTTGTCCTTGTAAAGCATCCAACTGGGATTTGAGGGCAGAGACATTTACGATCTTCCCAGCTCTCACAAAGTCATCGTACTCCTCAAGGTTATTGACAATGGCGGCGAACGAGCATCCAATCAGGCGGAAAATTTCTTCAAAGTACGGCGGATCATGTGATTTAATGAAAGTGCGTATGATTTCGTCCTAAATCATTGGTGGCTCGAATTTTGCAGCAATTTTCCTCCACCTCTTGGCATAAGTCTTGTGATCCTCGGAGGGTTTTCTTTTTGTTCTTTCCAGCGTGGTTCGCGTCGGAGCCAGCTCGCAGTTATACTCGTACTGCCTTACAAAAGCATTGGACAAGTCGAGCCAAGTCTTGACTTCTTCGGGCTTCAGATTGGAGTACCAGTCGAGCGCATCCCCCTCCAGACTTTTCGGGAACAACCTTAGAGGCAGATTCTCATCGTCTACGGGCTTTCCCAACTTGTTGGCAAACAGTCAGAGGTGTGTTTTGGGATTTTCCGTTCCATCATACTTGTTAAATTTAGGGGTTTTGAACCCCTCAGGCAACCGCACATTTGGAAAAAGGCAAAACTCATCGTAATCCAGGACTCCTTACTTGTTCAACCCCTGACTTTTCCTCATTAACTCATCGAAACGATCTAGACGCTTGAGCAGCTTCATATCAACGGGAGCAGAAGATTCGCCCATCTCTGGCTTGGTTTGAACAGTATGGTCTGGCAGGAATGGCTCAGCAGTAGTGTGATAAAAGGTATGTGGCTCGAGTGGTATATTTGAAGTGACGTGGGGTTGTGGACCTCGCATTTGAGTAGGCAAAAATGAAGGATTGGGAGGGTAAGTGTATGGCAAATTTGTGGTGGGATAGGTAAAAGTTTCTTCGGGTGGAATAGGGAAGGATGGAGTAACGGTGGCTTGAGTCGAAGGTATGACAAATGGCTCTTGCTCAGGCTGCCTGACGGGTACGGGTTCAGGTTGAACTCCGCTGCTAATTAGCTCGTCAATCAATTTCCTTTGGGCCGCCATCTCGGTAGCCATCTCACCAAACTTAGTAAGCATTTCGGTTAGCTGAACACCTAAACTCGCGGTCTCGGGTTGAGCGGTAGTAACAGACCTATCCGATTGTTCCGGTTGTGAACTCATATTTACACGACTCCTCTGAGCTCGACTACGGGATCGCGTTATGATGGGGTTTCGACGAGAAACTATGTTTAAATATTACCTGAAAATACGAAATGGCTTGCTTTTAGATTTTACCCCTGGCTTAGCTTTTCCTGCAAAACAAAATAAAATAAAGAAAAAGAAAAAGACAAGAGTTAGTAAATATCCGGAAAAAATTCGGATGCATGTCCTATTGGGGACCCCTTTTTGCGCCAAGGGTAGGCCTAGTGTGATGCAACACCTTCAAAATGGGACCCGTGACACAAACCTGTTTTGACAACAATCCTATATGAGTGCAAAAGAAAAATCGCTTTTATTGATAAACTTGCCAATAATTACATCATGTCACGAAGACGATTCCGTACAAGATTGCCAAAACTTCTGAGCCTATCTAATACAGAGTCCCTGGTTTCTCTAGCATATGGAATTCTAACATGTTCAGCTTGGTCATACAATTTTCCGCATTTCCTTTTCAGCTCTTGACGCTTTTCTCGTTCATTTTCATACAATTGCTTATTTTGCTCCGCTATCCCTTTGTACGTTTCGACAGAC